TGGGCAGCTGAAATGCCGGTGGCGCTGCCTTGATAAGAGCGGAGGGGTGCTTCTATACTGCCCTAAAAAAGTGTTCCTCTAATACAGGGATGTCGAACTGAATTCCTGGAGGACCGCAGCCCTGCACAGTTTAGTTCCAACCCTGCTCCAACACACTTCAAACAAGCCTGAAGGACTCAATTAGTTTGATCAGGTGTGTTTATTTAGGGTTGGAACTAAACTGCCTGTTGGGTCCACACTTTGACGGTGCACATCTGTTTTTAACTTGTTTACAGTGTGATGTTCAGACCCCACTGCATTAACCGCGTCGGATAAACTCTCCCACTCCATTTTTTCTTTTGTTATTCATTTCGGAGGACAAACTTGCAAATAACACGGTTCTGTGAAGTTTCTCTTCTTGGTTGCTTTTGCCATTGCTTTTTCATTTCGTTTTGCCAAAGTGGAGTCATTACCATTTTTATAGGGGGGAGGAGGCAGGGAGGGGTTTTGCGCTTGTGCATGTTGCGCTCAATTTCACGGTAATTCAGATGTACAAAGAGAATATGCGTGGGATTCCGCGTACGGAGTGTTTCATACATCTGATTTTTTTACTCCGTTTAGACACATTTACAGCTTTGTCCGTACGCAATGTTTTAGTATTAATTCAACGCAAGTCTTTGTAGATGAGGCCCCTGGGCTAGCTGATCAAGCTCTTACTAGGCTTTCAGGAAACATCTGTGCAGGTGTGTTGAAGCAAGTTAGAGCTAAAATCTGCAAGACACCAGCCCTCCAGAACTGAGTTTGGCTATCCCTGGCATAGAGCATCACACCCCCTTCACGCAATTGTCTTCATCCAAGGATACATCCTGAGGCCTGTTGTACAAAATGTGTTGAACAAACTCTGGGTTGCAGAGTATTTTTTTATTTATTTTTATTTATTTATTTATTTTTTTAAAACTGGTTAAGACACAACCCTTAACACAAACATTCTCTGTTAACCCAAGGTTTAATCAAGAGTGAGCGAATAACTTTGGACCATTTCCAGTGTAAAACATGCAGCCAACGACACATGAGAGAGTAATTTTGATTCAGTTTGTCACAGTTCACTTCTGTGTTGACGATTAGGAGGCCAATCAGCACAATGCCAGAAGTGCGGTGCACTTTTTATGTGGTTAGGCAACGACTGAATCAGCTGCGTATTGTGCGCGAGTGTTGCTGTTAATATTGTTATCATTTTAATATTTAATAATTCATAAGTTATACAGCAACCTCTAGTCTCTCCTCTATCTTTAAAAGTCTCTGTAGTTGTCTTGACAGCACAAACACTGCTGTCACCTCAATGAAAACTCAGCCTCTGCTTTCATTTTATTGGAGACTGATGTAACAAGCTTTTTTCGCTCAGAGTTGACTTGTTTTCAGCAGCGAGCGCACGGTGCAATGGTACCTCTCAATTCAAAAATGTGTTCGGTGTTATCGGCCCCTAAAGTGCAGGTCTACTGAATAATTTATTATTATTTTTTTTTATTTTTTATTTTTTTTGAAGTTGTTGGCAATGGTAGCACTGCTTTTTTGCAAGCCTGCAGTGAAACACTGAGTAGATGTTTTACGGTTAATGATGAGCGCTTAACAACATTTTTTCAACCGTTAAAAAATGCAAGTTGAAAAATGCAGGGCCCATCAGTGTCACTAAGCACACTGGAGAAGGGGCGGGACAATACCACATAACTGTCAGCAAATAATCTGCTGAAGACCTCATCTGCTAAAGGATCATTATCATGAATATGATTACCTTGCAACTTAAGGAAAATATCATTAAATTATTGCAAATCGGTCAACTGATTTTAATGTATTCATAGTTGAAGTCAAAGTATTTCCCAAATTATATTTGACAGATTAAGGAATTTTTCACAGTATTTCCTATAATATTTTTTTTCTTCTGGAGAAAACTTTTTTTTTATTTATTTAGGCTAGAATAAAAGCAGTTTTCAATTTTTAAAAAACATTTTAAGTTATTAGTATTATTATTCCTCTTACGCTATTCTTTTTTTTTTTTTTTGATAGTCTACAGAAAAAAAAAGGGGGGGTATACATCGCTAATAATTCAGGAGGTCTAACAATACTGACTTCAGCTGTATATATATATATATATATATATATATATATATATGTGTGTATATGTGTAACTGTGTATGTATATATATATATATATATATATACAGTTGAAGTCAGCATTATTAGCCCCCCTTTTGATTTGTTTTTGCTTTTTTAATTATTTCCCAAATTGTGTTTAACAGAGCAAGGAGATTTTCACAGTATGTCTGATAATGTTTTTTCTTCTGGAGGAAGTATTATTTGTTTTATTTCGGCTAGAATAAAAGCAGTTATTAATTTTTTAAACACCCTCTTAAGGACAATATTATGAGCCCCTTTCAGCTAATTTTTTTTCGACAGTCTTCAGAACAAAACATCATTATACAATAACTTGCCTAATTACCCTAACCTGCCCAGTTAACCTAATCAACCCAGTTAAGCCTTTAAAAGTCACTTTAGGCTGCATAGAAGTGTCTTGAAAAATATCTAGTAAAATTTTATTTACTGTAATCATGGCAAAGATAAAACAAATCAGTTATTAGACATGAGTTATTAAAACTTTTGTGTTTAGAAATGTGTTGTGAACAATCTTCTCTCTGTTAAACAGAAATTGGGGAAAAAATAAACAGGGGGTCTAATAATTCTGACTTCAACTGTGTGTGTATATATACACACACACACACACACATATATATATATATATATACACACACACATATATATATATATATATATATATATATATATATATATAGGTGTGTGTGTGTGTGTGTGTGTGTGTGTGTGTGTGTGCAAACTGGCTTTGTGCAGCAAGCACATACATACAGCCATCCACGAGACTCATTGAAAGAGACAACCTTCCTTTACTGCTCCAAGGTCCAGTTCTCAGGGCTCTTGTGTTCAGTGTAGAAGCTTTTAATCGTGGACAGGGTCATTATAAGCACTATGATGGCTCTTTGACTGTGCAGTCTCGTACTGAGTAACGCAGCAGAGTTCAGTGCACTGTGTGTTGTGACACATTTCTCCTTTAACCATCATAACACTGATGTAGGACTTGTGCCACAGTAGACTTTCTGTTCGCTTGGACTAAACAGGATAGCCTTCATTGCCTTCACGCATCAGTGAATCTTGGATGCTCAACACGCTTTTGTCAGTTTGCGGTTGGTTCCTCTCAGAGCACTGCTGGTGAACTCTCACCACCGCTGACCGTTTCCATTTCAGAGATCCTTTGACCCAGTTGTCTTGACATAAGTTGGCCCTTGTCAAAGGCACTGTGTGTGTGTGTGTGTGTGTGTGTGTGTGTGTGTGTGTGTGTGTGTAATTTATGTACAGTTGAAGTCGAATTAATAGCCCTCCTGTTAAATTTGAATTCTTACATTTTTTTCACCCCAATTTCTGTTTAACGGAGAGAACACATTTTAAACATAATGTTTTAGTAATAATTATTACTTTTTAGCTATAATTAGTAATCTTTAATAAATGAGTTATTTTATCATTACCATGATAACAGTATATATTTTACTGGTTGTTTTTCTAAATACTAGCATTCAACTTAGTGTAATTTTAAAGCTTACCTAGGTTAATTCGCTTATCTAGTCAAGTTATTATAGAACAGTTGTCAGCATAAAATTACTTGAGGGGGCTAATAAAATTGATCTTAATTATTTTATTTTATTTGAAATAATGCAGCTTTTCTTCTAGCCAAAATAAAACAATGAAGACTTTTTCCAGAATAAAAAATAATATCAGAAAAAAACCTGTGAAAATCCTTGCTCCATTAGATATCACTTAAGAAATAATAGAAAACGCATAAATATTTCACAGAAGGGTGAATAATTTTGCCCTCAACCTTATAAATATATTGTTGATTATATATTAATATTTTAATTGTAGGTCGAGTTGTGAGATCTACTGTGTACAAGATTTAGGCCCAATAAGTAATAATTCTGTTTTGTTTAAGAGAGTTTAAGAGAAGGACGTTGTTGGTCATCCAGTCTTTAACATCTTTAATATACTCAGTTACCTTAGACAGTTCAGACAGATTCACTGATTTTTTTTTTCTGTATTTTTCTCTTATTTGTATAAAAACGTATTATAGATTGTATAAATGTTTTTGTTCTGTTTTGTACTTATCAAGCAGGGATGTTAATAATGCATTAGTAAATGTTGTACAAGCATTGTTCATAATTACTTCATGTTAGTATATACATTATCTTACCTTATTGTAAAGTGTGACCACTATTCTTTACTTTAGTCAGATTCATTCAGAACAACTTTATTTTATTCAGTTTTTGGGTTAAAGTGAGACTGCAAAAGAAGTGAATTTATGCTAATATTGAAACCCCACAGCAGTGACTCACTCCATTAGTTGAACCCATTATGATGCAACTCTTACGTAACGCTTCCCAGATCATTCATTATTAAACCCTTGTTTTATAAAATCTTGTCTTTGCTTTATTCATGGCGGCGATGGGTTTCCATTTCCCTTCTGATCGTTCCGACTCCACTTCTCTGCGCCTTCACAGACCTGTCACATTTTCTCCATCAATATCTATCAGCACTCTAGTCAATACAGCCGCTTTGGAAAGCCATTCTTATTCCGCTCAAAGGCCGAGCGTGAGCTTATCGGAGAAATCCCTCTCTTACTCTCGAGGAGCTAAGCACCAGACCTCCTTTTTCCTTTTACCTTCTCCCTCCGCATTCAGTCGAATATAATTACACACACGTTAGGGGTCTATAATGTTAATTCGGTGAAACAGGTGTGGGGAGAATTCAACAATAGCCTCGATCTTAGCTCAGGGCCAGAGTGCTTCTTTAAACAATGAGCTTCATACATGGGTTACAAAAGCTAATCCCAATGCAGCACTTTGCACAATCTCCCTGCAAATGGACATAAACCCCCTCCTGTGTTTTCTTCTGTACACCCACAGAGGACGTTCACGTGCACTTTCAGAAGTGTGAGGTGGAATATCTGCAGTTTGCTTTCCGCTGGATGAATAATCTGCTGATGAGGGAGCTGCCGCTGCGCTGTACCATCCGCCTGTGGGACACCTACCAGGTACTGCTGAACCCAAAAAAAACAGTCAGCAGATTAGAATATGTCAGAAAAGTCTTTACGTGAGCTTCTGTGTCAGTTTTTTCTTTTGTTTTTTGACTTTCATGTGGTCAGTTTTGACATGAAGGGTGTTGATCAAGAGCATCAGTGGTGGTCGTTTTTGGATCTGCTGATGCGTTTGAACCTCCAACCTTTTGGTTACCAGCCAAAAAGCAGAACTGCTAGTAGGGGTGTACATATTTGTGCTGAGAATTAGGTTTTCAGTTCAGTTACTTTGGTGCATTTCATAAATATTTTTTAGAAAATGTGCTGATTTCACAGCACAACTGGAGCAAGAGTGTTTTTTTTTTTTTTTTTTTTATAGAAATATCTGAGTTTACCTTCTCCTTTTTTGGGACAAAAATTACTTTACCAGCCAATTATTATAATATATTAAATAATAATATATAGTAATAATAATAATATAGTACATTTTATTTTTTTCTTCCAAAGTATTTATTTATTTTTCTTTTATATTATATTATTCATTCATTCACAGCGGAATGACCCAACAACTTATCCAGCATATGTTTTACACTGCAGATGCCCTTCCAGCTGCAACCCAGTACTGGGAAACAGCCATACACACTTATTCACACACACACACACACACTACGACCAATTTAGCAATTAATATTCACCTATACTGCATCTCTTTGGACTGTGAACACATAGAGAGAATGCAAACTCCACACAGAAATGCCAACTTACCCAGCCGGGACTCGAACCAGCGACCTTCTTGCTGTGAAGCGACAGTGCTAACAACTGAGTCACAATGTCGCCTACATTATTCATTCATCTTCTTTTTGGCTTAATCCCTTTATTACTCTGGGGTTGCCACAGCGGAATGAACCGCCAACTTATCCAGCATATGTTTTATGCAGCGCATGCCCTTCCAGCTGCAACTTATAACTGGGGAAACACCCATACATTCTTATTCACACATATACACTATGGACAGTTTAGCCTACCCAATTCACCTATAGCGCATGTCTTTGGACTGTCGGGGAAACCAAAACTCTCAGAGGAAACCCATGCCAACATGGGAGGAACATGCTAATTCCAGAACAGAAGAATGCCAACTGGCCCAGCCGAGGCTCAAACCAGCGGCCTTCTTGCTGTGAGACGACATCGCTACCCACTGCGCCACCGCGCTGCCTCCTATATTATATTATATTATATTATATTATATTATATTATATTATATTATATTATATTATATTAACATATTTATATTATTTATTTTAGATTATATTATTTTGTATTGATATTGAATTATATATTGTAAAATTAATTATATATTTAAAAAGTACAAATATTACTTTATTATGTTGATATAGCTTTAGAGCCTGTTTACATGTTAAATAAATACAAATATTTGTTTAGTAATACTTAGCATATAGTTACAAACCTTATATGAATATAGATCATAGTAAATTGATATCAATAAAAATAATAATAATACTAATAGTAGAAGTATTTGTAGTAGTAGTAATTGTAGTAGAAGTAGTATTTAATATAAATTCAAATTTGTAGTCATTCATTTACTTATTTTCCTTCGGCTTAGTCTAGCAGAATGAACCACCAACTATTCTGTCATATGTTTTACGCTACAGATGCCCTTCCAGCCACAACCCAGTACTGAGAAACACCCATACACACTCATACATACACACACACACACACACACACACACACACACACACACACACACACACACACACACACACACACACACACATTCATACACTACGGCCAAGTTTTTTTTTTCTATTTACCTATACCACGTCTTTGGACTGTGGGGGAAATCGAAGCACTCGGAGGAAACCCATGCGAACACAGGGAGAACATGCGAACTCCACACAGGAATATCAACTGGCCCAGCCGAGACTTAAATCAGCGGTCTTTTTACTGTGAGGCGACCACTGAGCCACCATGCTGCCACTAATTTGTAAATATTTTACATTATTTTCAGGTGTGTTTGTGCAATAGCTTTTGATTTTAAAGTGTTTTACTGTTAAATCTTGAATCTTTAAGTTATACATTCACAGTTATCCCTGTGGTAAAAAAATCACTTATTAATTTATTATTCAATATTTAATACCTAATTTGTTTAAATATTTGTACTTATTCTTTGTGGAAAAGTATGTTTTTAGGACCAGTTTGATAAATAATTGATAAATGATTTCCTGAGGGTGTCTATTTTTAAAATATAATTTAGATATTTTGTCAATTATTGGTATACCTTGAGTTGTTACGGACTGATTCTTTAATTTCTTATAGATGCAGGCCTTTTTACATTAGCAGTCACCCCTGTCTGACCTCCTGTCATGGGGTTTACTGTACATTTGCAGTCTCCCATGAATGATAGCTGATCTCCAAATCATTTTTTTAAACGCTTCAGAGGTTATGGGTGTCCTGTCCTTGAAGACCATAAACTCCTCATCCATTTTTGCCATTTTAACAAGAAAAAATAGGTGCGAGCTCGTCATATTCCTGTCATTCATTAATATTCTTTTGAAGAGTTTCCTTCTGCTGATTTCCTTTCGTGTCCTGTCTGCGTGTCCTCTCGCAGATTTTCTTTTGATAAATCTCCTTGCTCATTTCTTCGTCCTTTACATCTGCCTCCGTCTATCTGCCGCTCACGCATGGCGTTTTGACGTGGAGCCGTTCTCTCAAGGTGGGTTTTACTGGATAAAGGGGGAATAGCTGTCAGGTGACAAGTGCAATCTAGGAAAGCGAATGGCGAGTGGTGAACTATTATGCACGCATACATTTCATTTGCGTCTCTTCAGCACTGTTGCCAAACATTTTTTGTATGTTGAATACTCATTTCGGATCTCAGCCATATAGAATTGAAGTCAGAATTATTTTCCCGCATTTTTGTTTAAAGGAGAAGATATTTTGCAACACGTTTCAAAAAGAAATAGTTATGAAAAAAATTATAGCTGACTTCTTTTATCTTTGCCATGTTAACAGTGTAAAATATTTTACTAGATATTTTTAAGTAGTAGTATTCCGCTTAAAGTGTAATTTAAATGCTTAACTAGGTTAATTAGACAAGTCAGGGTAATTATGCAAGTCATTGTAAAATGATGGTTTGTTCTGTAGACAATCAAAAAAATATTACTAATGCTGAGTTCAGACTGCATGATTTTCAAAATAGTCATGTCACAGATGTTTTCACACTGCATGACTATCTGGGCTAGCGTTTCGTCGCTGCTTTGTTTACACTGCAAGATGGATCGGCGACAGGGACATTCACATTGCATGACATTACTATAGGAAGAATCGCCGACAACTTCGTCCAAGCTACGTCTCACAGCCAAAAACACGTAGTATCTTTTGTTATTAACTACATAATGAGAAAGAAGCCTTTAATGGGGTAGAACATGTACATGTTTGCTCACCTGTGTTTAAAGGGAATTAGCCACTTCTCCTCAACGTTGATAATAAATTAATTTCTTTCTGTATGAAACGTCAAACAGAGACGGTTGCTCCTGAGTCCTGTCAAACCTCCACTAGTTTTTCCTCCATTTCGTGGGTCCAAATAAACCGAAAAAGAGCCCTTTTAACTTCTGCCTCTTGCTGGCCTGCAGCAGGTATACACACACACACACAAGTGAATGCTGCTCTCTCATTGGCTGTAGGCGATCGCTGATGTTATTTTCAGTCAAAACTCAATTCACACGGCATGATTTGAATCGCCGACAGCTCCAAATATTTAGCATGCCAAATATCTCACAGGCACCGGCGACTCATCGGCGATTCTCTCAGATCGCGTCTTTAATAGTTCATACTGTGTGATTGTCACTCACGTGCACGAGCAGCGATTTGCCTGTGATTTCAGGCATTTGTCGGCGATTTTTCAAAACCTGTCGGCGAGCCAAAATCGGGGCTAAAATCACGCAGTCTGAACAAGGCATTAAGGGGGCCAATAATATTGAAAATAATTTTTTGCCAAAATAAAACAAAGAAAACGTTCTCTAAAAGATAAAATATTATCAGAAATATTGTGAAAATTTCCTTAATCGCTATATATATATATATATATATATATATATATATATATATGTAGAATAAATATTGCACAGAAAGGCTAATAATTTTGACCTCAACTGTATAAGCAGCCATGACTTGTTAATCCAGGGGTTTTTAATATTATGAAAATGTTGTCTAATGAAATAACATGTTCCATACTGGCTTTGCCTGTTGTTATTTTTATCTTAACACAACTTGGATAATAAAATACTGATGTCATTGACATATTATGTGACTTTTAGTTGTAATTTTCGACTGGAGGGCAACAAGAGAAGGGATGTAAATCTTCAATACCACAAGAACACAGGGAGAACATGCAAACTCCACACAGAAATGCCAACTGTTTCAAGTGGGACTCGAACCAGCAACCTTTTTGCTGTGATGCGACAGTGCTAACCACTGGGCCACTGTGACGCTCACTTTAATAATTCTGCGTTGAAGGGTTAGGAGGGGGTTGCATGACGGAGGGGTATCGTGGACAAATGATATGTAAGTCAAGAGTGGGGGGTTGACGTGGACGAAAGGGAAGAGGGTTGTGATCAGAGGTGCCAGTCAGTCTCTCTTTCCAAATTTGGACCCAACTCAGCACAGAGCTCCAAGAGGATAGCTCTTGGAAATCTGAACGGGCTAATAAGCCAGTCATCATTGTGGGCCAGAAAATCTCTGTGATCCCTAAAAAATACATTCCCTTTCGAATTCGACCATTGACAATGTCCAATAATAAGACCAACATTGCCATTGCCATAGACTAAGGGTTGTATACATTTGCAAATGCTTTTATATGTTCTATATCACATAATTGGTAAAAAAAAATAATAATAATTATATATATATATATAAAACCAATTTTAGCTATTATAAATGAATAGCCTGGTTTTTCACATGTGTTGGTGCCATACTGTAATGTGCAGTTTAACATAATT